AGAGAGAGAGAGAGAGAGAGAGAGAGAGAGAGAGAGAGAGTTCTTCTTCTTCCTCTTCTAAGTCCACCATCTCTTCTTCACCCTCTCACTACCTGACTTCTCAGTATCAGCGGACTACGACAGAGAGAGAGAGTTGTGACTTGAGACTTGACGACATTGGATCCAGACTCGACATTGGGATTCAGACATTTTGACGAGGGACTATTTGGGCTTGTGTCGAAGACTCGGTGTTGACGACATTCCCATCTTCCCCTCTTCTTCGTCTAACCCCCCTCTTCTTCGTCTGTGTATGGTTGGGGACTGGCGCATTCTTCCTGTGTGAGCGCCAGGCCCCTTCACACCATGGAGTGATGATGATGATGTATGTTCGGGGCTGCATTGCAATATTGATTGTTCGGATCATTGGTATCTAAGTCTTCCGCTACGCTATCTTGTACTTTGTGAGAGAGGTCGGTTCTTGTTCTGGTCTGCACCGTTACAGTATGCAACAGTGACGCAGGAGCTGCTTTCTCATTGGCCTGTGGCCGCTACGTTACATGGCGGCCTCTGAATGCGTATGCCCAGGGCCTCCACTGATTGAGCCCTGGGCTCAACTGTACGGTGCAGCTGTTGCTTCTGGAAAGAGCCATGGAAGGCCCATGTTGCTCTGTAACCAACAGGCGTGCTGCAACTGTCTGGTACCCCACATACGAAACATGGCGAAAATAGGCCTCACATGGATATGCAGGCCCGCCTTCACTTAGGGCGGGCACAGAGCTTGCTGGGGGCCTGAGCCCAGAACGTCTGTATGCCCGAGGAGGACCTTGCGAGGGATCAATCCTCGCATTCCATCCCTCTCGAAAATCCGCTGAGATGCTTCTGCGCAGGTGCTTTCCCCTTCAACTTCCATTCATACTCTGCCACGACCTGAGGTGCTGTTCTAACGAGCTCCTCTCTTGTGAACCAACGATCTTCCTTTGGATCTGTATGATGCCTGAATCTGACCCGGTACTCCCTCATAGGTTTTGGCGGTCTTCCCCTGCCAGCAGGGTTGGGAACAGGCAAGTCTCTATGTTCCAGGATGTCATCGACGTCCACATGGCCGTCCAGGGTTGGGGGCAGCATTGACCTCCTTGATGGAAATTGATCAGTCTTAGCGAAAGGTGTAAGCTTTGAGGCATGAAATACAGGGTGAGTGCGCAGATGACCAGGGATTCTTATCACGTACGAAGTACTGTGGCATTAGCTCTCTAGAGATGTCGAATTCCTGTCCTAGTTCACTAGCCTTTACCCAGACACGTTCCCCTACCTGATGTGTGGAATGTTGTCTCTGTCTGTTCTCAAAGGTAATCATTGCCTCCTTAGATTTCCTGATATGCTCGATAGCCTGCTGCAACTTCTCATACTGGACACCATATTCTATGGTTCCAGGAGTTGCAACTGGTCGGTTTTCCGGAAGTAGGAAGTCTAGAGCAGATCCAGGCTTCCACCCCAAATGCTGCTGATTGGGACTGAGGCCGGTGGTGTTGTGTACACCGTTATTGTACAGACTGGCGATGAGAGGCAATTTCTCATCCCAATCATCCTGGCTGGGCTTAATGTAGTGCCTCAGCAGATGCTGCACCACGCGGTTCATCTGTTCCGCTTGGCCGTTGGCTTTGGGATGATTTCCCGAGGTCATTTGGAGTTGGCTGCCCATTTGTGGAGCAGCCCTCTTCCACATTTCACTTG